GGGGGGGGGGGGGGGGTTGAAGTAGTGTGGCAGACTACTGTGAACCCCCCTCCCTGGGCAGGCCTTTCTGCCTTCTCTCCTGTAGCCCCGAGTGGAAAATGCGCTGCGGCTCCTATTTAATAGTGAAGTGCCTGTGCGTTGGACTGGGGTTTTCCACTGTGGACTGTGCATTGATCCCTTCCTATTTTCCCTTCCTCTGTGAGAGCCAGGGGGTGGATTTGGTGTGTGTGTGTGTGTGTGTGTGGGGGTGAACATCCTGGGATGGGAGCTTCCACCAGCTGATGGGAGCAGCAGGGCGGGAGTGTCTTGATGTCAGTGGGAAGTGAGGAGGTGTGAATGTGTGGGTTCCTCCCTCTGGCTGAGAGTCCAGGGATAGGGGTGTGGTGATTGTCATCCAGGAATCTCTTATGGTCTTCAGGGGCGCTGCACCACAGGTCACCTGTTCATTAAATTGGGCTGTAGGGATTGGTTGGGATTGTTGCCGTTGTACCTGCCACCCTGTTGCACAGCACCCTCCCTGCCTGAGCTCCCTGACTCCGTTTCTGGGTTGGCGGTGGAGTTCCCCAGACTGATGGTTCTGGAGGACTTCAATTTGCTGTCCCTGGGACGTGTCTCCGAGGCAACCTGGGAGTTCATGGCCACCATGGCAGCCATGGGCCTGTCCCAGATTATTCATGACCCGACTCGGGACGGTGGTCTCACACCGGACTTGGTTTTCTTGTCAGAGCAGTGGGAAAATGATTTGAAGGGGGAGTTACATCTGTCCCTGTTGCCACGGACAGATCATGCCCTGGTGACCTTGAGATTCTCCCAGGTGACTCCCCTCTGCAGGGAGGCAGGACTTTTTTAACTGGTCCACCCTGGCGACTGATGGGCCCAGTCGGGTTGCAAAGGGAGCTGGGGGTTATACCCAAGGATCTGCTGCACTGTCCAGCGGAGGCCTTGGCTGCTGCCTGGAATAGGAAGGCAGCCGAGGCCATGGACAGGATTGTGCCTGTGTGACTTCTCTTGACCCATCGAGCCTGACACTCCCCATGGTTTATGGAAGAGTTGAGGGTCCTGAAAAGGATTAAGAGACATCTAGAGCATTGCTGGAGGAAAACAAGGACTGAACCTGACCGAACACAGGCTAGAGCCGCTATTAAGACCTACTTTGTGGTGGTAAGAGTGGCATAATGTCAATATTTTTCTGCTGTCATTGCATCCTCAGAATGCTGCCCAGTGGCCCTATTTAAGATCACCCAATCTCTCTTGGGAAAGGGGGGCCCAGTAGCCCATTTACAGGGCTGCGCAGAAGAGTTTTCTGGGCATCTGGAGGATAAAATCGCTCGGATCCATTCCCAGTTGGATTCTAAGCATGGGGCATGGCCTATGGAGATGCCCAGGGTACGGACTTACCCTGTTATCTGGGAACATTTTGATCCTGTTGGACCCAAGTGGACAGGGTCCTCTGACTGTCAATGGCACCACTTGTCAACTATACCCATGTCCCTCCTGGCTGGTCAAGGCTGCTCG